TAACACTCCAAGCTCATTATCAACAATTTACTTCTTTTCAGGGATTTTCTCAGGATTCTTTGATGAAATATCAAATCCCTTTCCACCTGTGATGGCAAACCAGTAGATTCAGTCACATGAGAAAACACAGCATGTAACCACTTCCGTATTGGGATATTGGAACAGCAGAAAAGACTGGTTGCTACCCCACATCCACCAACCCCATCCCAAATTTCTTAAATTTACTCCAAAGGGGACTTAGTACACCATTAAATACAAATATCCCTGAGAGGTCACACATTAGGCCAAAACATTATTTTCACCTCTGAATAAATGCATTTATCAGATTCTTCAAAGTGTTGACTCAAGCTTTTTAGTCTTAAATTCTCTGTAATGACTTCAATTACTTCAAGTCCTAAGACTTCAACCTCCACAGTTATTGAAATCATCCTAAATTTTTATAATTTCCTCTCCAATTCTATCCTCGGCCACCCCAGAATATTCAGATGTCTGTCTGTCGGATATCTCTGTCTGTTCCACGAACATTTTATACTCAATAGAAGCAAACGCAACACACTCTATTCCTTTCAAACTTTTCTCTTCTCAACTGTTGTGGGTTCACTGAACCACATGGTAACTCTAGTAGAAACCTCCGTTATCTTTCATTCTTCCCTTCCCTACAACCAGTGAATGACAATATCCTAAAGATTCCAACACTGCAACATCTCCTATCTGTCTCCCTCTTCCTCTATCAGGAACCACCACTGTAACACAGACCCCCACTTCCCCTCACCTGGGCTGCTGAAACACCACTCTGCACTGCACGCTCCTCTTTCTAAAGCCGGACTTCTACTATGTCATTCTCCAATTCAAAACCCTTTATTGTTCCCCATTGCTTATTAAATTAAAATCAAACTCATCTTGGTTTCCAATGTTTATTATCCTATGACCTCATCTACCTTCTACTTTCACATGATTTTTTTTTACCCCTCCAGTAAAACTGGAATTTTCTGTTGTCTGAACATGGCTTTTGCTTTCCAATCTATGTGCCTCAAATGGCTACCTCCACTTGAAATACTTTCATCCATTTTCCATTTCCACTCATTAAGAGCCTATCCTTCAAGATCAACTTCAAATTTTACTTGCTTCAATAAGTCCATCAGAAGGTTCCCACCACTGATCTTCTATGCCGTGAATTACTAAACAATACCATTATTTTATGCCTGCCTTATGCTATTCACTATGTTGACAACTCCCTAGGTCTGGGAAGTGTCTTTTTCATCTCTACCTCACCTGCAGTGCCTAGACCAATGCTCACACATAAAATGCACATAATATTAAAAGTTTATGAGCAAGTTTGGATGAAAGATAAGAAAGACAGTAGAGGAGTTCCTGGCTTCTGAAAGGGCGGCGATGCCAAGAAGCGACTGGACAGGGTCCTGGAGAACACCTTTACACACAGTTTGTAACCTGAAGACTATAGCTTAGGACAAACATCTCAGCAACGGGTGGAAATCTGCACTGGGGGGAAAGGCGGGCCGGTCCAGAGCACTGGACCCACTTGGATGAAAACATGGTTCTGGGAATTTTCAATGAAGATGGCAGCAGGAAACACTGTGGGTGCTTGGGGGATCTTGGGAGTGTCTTCAAGTCCTTGAATGCGACAGGGCAGACAAGAGCACTGGATCAGAGAATTCTAGAACAGGCAAATGAGTTGGTGATAAAATGAACCGCCTGTTTCACATGCTACATACTCTAATGTAGCTCTGTTTTAGCCTCGTTTGGGTCTCTGGACACATGTGAAACTGTCAGTCAACTGCTCAATTAATCAGTCAATACTTCTGGAGTGCTTTCAGTACTCCAAGCATTGTGCCAGGTGCTGGAGACAGGTGAATGAAACAGACAAAATGCCCTGCCTTCAAGGACCTTTTTAGTGAGAAGAGATAGTGACAAATAGAATACATACATAAAATACAGAGCTTATTAGATGGTGATAAATTCTCTGGATGAAAATAAAACAAGATATGGAGACGAAGTGTTAGAATTTTGAGCAGAGTGGTCAGGCTTTGTTAAGGTGATATTTGAGCAAAGACCTGGAAAAGGAAGAGCACAGATCCACGCATCTATCTGGGGAAGGAGTATTCCAGACAGAGGGGATAGCCAGTGCAACTGTCCTGAGGTAAAAGCAAGGCCTGACATCCTAAAGCCAAAGTGGCTGGAGACAGTGGGGTCAGGGAAGTAAAGGGAGACTTTCAGCCTGTGTAGGCCACTGGGAAGATGAGGTTTTTACACTGAGTGAAATGGAGAGCATTTAGGAAGAGTCTGAGCAAACATTGACATCATCGGCTCTTGGGCTGGGATTGAATATAGAAAGGACAAAAGACTGAAGCAGGGAGACCAGGAAGGAAGCTATTGGAATATCCCAGGCAAGACTGATGATGGTGGCTTGGCCCAGGATGGTGGCAGCAGAGATAATGAGAAGTCATCAGAGTTTGTATGTGTGTGTTCAGTCGCTTAGTCAGGTCTGACTCTTTTACCACCCATAGACTGTGGCCTGCCAGGCTTCTCTGTGCATGAAATTTTCCAGGCAAAAATACTGGAGTGGGTTGCCATTTGCTACTCCAAAGGATCTTCCCAACCCAGGAAGATCCCAACTCAACATCTCTTGTGTCTCCTGCATTGGCAGGCAGAGTCTTTACCACTGCGCTACCTGGGAAACCTCTAGAAAAACATTAAAGCTAGAACCTTAAGGATTTGGGGGTATATCAGATATACGGTGTAAAGGAAAACAATGTCAAGGATGAGTCCACAGTATAGTATGGTTTATTAACTGGAGTGGAGATTATTAAGGAAGGTATAATTGGGGGAATGGAGACAACTAGGGATTTTGTTTTGGATCTGTAAATCTTCTGATGTCTTTAAACATCTAAGTGGAGTCTGGAGATCAAGAGAAAGATCTCCACTAGATATCTAAACTTCTGAGTCATTAAAATATAGACAGTATTTGAAACCTTGAGACTGAGGGTTTTCCACACAAGAGTGGTTTCAAGAAGAGACAAGGTTCAATGACTGGGCTTTCAGAGGTCACAGAGAATCAGCAAAACAGACTGAGAAGGAAGAAGCAGTAAGGTGGGAGGGAAACCAGGTGGGTATGTTGTCCTGGAAACAGAATAAAGTCTTCAAGGAAGACAGAGTGATCAACTTGTTCAAACGCTGTTTACAGGTCAAGAAAGATGAGAACCAAGAAAAGCCCTTTGGATTTAGCAATGTGGAGGTCACTGATGTCATTGACAGTGATAGTTTCAATGGAGCAATGGGATAAGAAAGCCTAATTAGAAAGGGCTTGAGACTAAGAGAAGAGGAATTGGAGAGACTTAATATTAGATACTTCTTTTTGTTGTTAAAATAAAAAAAAGATTGCACTTAAAAAATGCCAGTAATTCATACTTCTTATAACCCAAGTGGGCACTGTGTCCATGGTAATCTGAATATGTCAAATTTTACTTGAGAAATTCCCCTTTCAAATGACAAGTTTTTGAGAAATGAATTTCAGCAGTTTTAAGTCTGGCACTCTCTTTGTTCACTGAGAAAAAACAATCAGTCTTCAGTGAATTTGCAGCTCAAGATATTTTAAGTTTCATAATCAAACTTCTGTCTTGGAACTTCATACACACACACACCCCCATCCAAGAATGATGACATCATAGCTCTCAGGTTGAATATTTCAACTCATAAATTACATTCACTCATTCCAAATATTTCATTATTGATTTATAGCGAGTCTTTTCCTTGTGCCATAGCCACCACTTACTCACTTAAAATTTTTAAATGATGTTTCTCGTTCCACGGACATCTGACTGCCTCCTCTACTTGTAGACATTAGTTCATGTTGTCAACAGTTGAGCACCAAATCTCGACTAACATTAAGCTTGAGATTAAAAGGAGACCAGGAAAAGCTTTCAGTAAAACATGCTAACCTAACATATCTGAACAAGACAGGGTCAAGTTCATACTCAGAACCACAAGGGTACTGTGAAGTAAAATGATTTCATATTTCCGTTATGATGTCATTTTTTATAACATTAAAGCCAAGAGTCCTCCCCACTCAAGGGCAATGCCAGTTTCCCAGAAGGCTCATTTCTCAGAGCCAAGGCTCCAAAGATGCCAGAGCAACCCATGCTGATTCTTAGGTCTCGTGTTATTTCTCAATTTTATGCTTAATTTGCTCCTTTTGGTTGTATGCATTTTGACGCAGCCAAGGGTATGTGGGGATTTCCCCATAGTCCTTTAAATGCTATAAAACTTTAATATAGCGAGATAAAAACAATAATAAGCCATGCCTCCAAGCCCTCACATTTAGTTCTTTGAGTTAGACACTGATATAGATTTTCAAGTACTTGGACTGCTTTAAATGAATGCCCTTGTGTCTTTCCTTACCCTCTATCCTCACTGAAATGAAAATTACATTCTAACCCATAGAATGTTTACAATTCTTAAATCATCATCATAATGGCCTATATATGCATCACCCAATGCAATTTAATCTGGTTCAGGATAAAGCCAAGATGGGTGCCCAATTCCGTTTTAGGCTTGCAACTCTGAAACATCTTTTTGGAAAAAAATGAAATAGTGCTCCTGGAAGTCTGTTGAGTTAGTCTGTTTTCAGCATAATTGCCTTCTCTCAGCTTCCTAATACCCTTAAAACCTCTGAGAGTCTTTAATGTACAAAGTTCAACAAAAATACCTTCAAAGCAGATTAGTTCTAATTATGTTTAATATTTGTTTGCTGCTTTATTGAATAAACTACATTTGCTTTAAGAAAAAAAATTCATTTAACTGCATGTCAGTCACCCAAATTTTAAGCATAGGAATGAAATGGAAAACATTTATTACACAAATTTAATTACAATTCTAAGAAATAAACATGCAAATTAGATAGGGTTCAATTTGCAGATGCTAATCCTCATCCTTGATCTTGTTCCTTTCCTCCCTGATTTTCAGTCTGTGCCTCTTCTTGATTCCTAGGGAGCCAGGCAGCAAGAGGTTTGGTTTTTCACAGTCGGAGGATCACTGTTTTAAAGAAGTGTTATATTTAGCACATCTGGCATAGTAGCAGTAAACAAACATTATAGTCTTTGTAACACTTTTGCGCAGGTGCCTTCCCCCCATTTTATTAGGTCTCTGCCTTCCAAGCCTCTGCGTTCATTGCACCTGAAATGACCCATCTCGACTATGGAGGGGTCCCTAGACAGAAGTTATGAATTAATGTTTGAAAAAAAAAAATCCAGTGGAGCCCAATATAGAGGAAAATTACTATTTGCAAAATAATGTGATTCCGGGGCTTATATTACATTCTCTTGACTAAGGACAGCCTCCTTTATTACTTTTTTCTTTTTTTTCCTGGAGGTTTTCCCTGAAGGCTCCCCCACCCAGAAAGAGTTGCCAATTCCAGTTGCAGTCGGACCAAGGTTGCTTTTTTGATACACTACACACACAGCTCCGGCGGGGGCGGGCGGCGGCGGGCGGCGAGGGGAGAACTGCTCTGGTCCTGCAAAGACAGCTGTTTCTCATCTCCGTTTGCTGTGGCAAAAGAGAAGAAAGTCTTCTGCAAAGGGTGGGAAAGGCGCAGAATCTTTTTTTTTAATCACACGCATACACAACAACAACAAAAGTAAACCAAATTTTTTAAAAAGAGAGAAGACATCTCAGAAGGTTGCAGGGTGAATATATTCTTCGGCTGCAGCCAAGCCCCCCAGGGCGAAGGGGCCGGAGCCCGGGAGCGCGTGGGGTCGGGGCTGCGGGCTGGAGCTGGGCCCGCGTGTCCCCGGGCACCGGGAGGGGAGGGGAGAGGAGGGATGGGAGGGCGGGAAGGAGGGAAGGAGGCAGGGGGCGGGCTGGGGTGGGGGCGAGGGGAGGGCGCCCCGTGTGCTGCCGAAGGAGCGGCGGCGGCGGCGGCGGGAGGGAGGGCAGGAGGGAAGGAGGGAGGCGAGCGGGCGCGCTTGTCATGTTGCCTCGCTCACCCTGGGGGCATCGTGCAGAACCTCTCCTCGGAAATCCACGGGGAAATGGCAAACAGGATTGACGGGTTTCACACGCTTCTCGCTAGACAGAGCCGCTCATTACCATAACCGTCTGCAGCGACGGCGGCGCGGCGCCCCAGTCGCGGCGGCGGGACCTGCCGGGACCCTCGCCCGCCGCGCACCCGCGGCCGCCACCAGCACCAGCACCCGCGCCTCCCCGGACCGGGCCGGGCCCCGAGCGCGCGGAGTGTGCACCGGCGGCCGGGCTGGCGCCGAGCCCGGAGCGGGCCAGCAGCAGCTCGAGCGCCGCGGCCGCCGCCGCCGCCTCCCGGCTGACCCCGCGGTAAGAGCCGGGCTGGGCGCGGGCGGCGGCCGGGGGCGGAGAGGCCGGGCCGGGTTGGAGGGTGACGGCCGGTGCCCTCGGGCGTCTGCGGTCGCAGACTGGCTCCCCCGCGCCCCACGCCGAGTGGGCGCGCACCGGCCGGAGCGGGACCCGGGCGGCCGGTGGCGGGGGTGGAGGGATGGAAGGAGGGGAGAAGCCGGGGAGCCGCTGCGCGCGGAGGCGGCGCGGGCTTTTCTCCGCTGGGCTGGCATGTGCCGCGGAGCCTGTACCCGGCGGGAGCGGCCGCCGCCCGCGCGCTCACCGAGCCGACTCTAGGGGCCGGTGGGGACCGCGGCTCCGGTGACACCCCGGGGTCCTCAGCAGCCGCTTAGTCGCCTGTCCCCGGGTGCAGAGTCAGGAGGCATGCTGCCCCCCCTCCCCCCCAAGGTCTGGATAACACTGCGGCGGTTGGCAGGTGGGGAGGGAAGGACGGTGGATGTCAAGAGCGCGCGTTTGCAAGAAAAAGGAAGAGCTGCAAGAGCTGACACCTTCTGTCCTCCCCCCCCCCCCCCGCCACCTCCGCCCCCGCACCCTCCCCAGCAGCCGGGCCGCGCTGCGGGCGGCGGCGGCGGCGGCGGCTCCTCTGTCCTCAGCTCACCTCCCTGGCGGGCCCGGTTGCTGCCCGCCTGGTCCACGCCTCCGCCTCTCTCCTCCCTTCCTCCCCTCCCGCCTCCGCGGCCCTAGCAACTTTCCGGAGTGTGCCCGGCCGGGACCGCAGAGGCGGCGGGGGGCGGGTGGAGGGGGGAGGAGAGGCGGCCGCGCGGGCCGAGGGTGGCGCGGGCCGGGCGGGAGGCGCCGGCCGACTCCTGGCCGCTCGGGCCCCGCGGAGGCGGACGGCGCTCCCGCAGCCCCGGGGCTCCGGGCGGGTTTGGCCGGCGAGGGAAGGGAGGGCCGGGCAGGCATCTGCTGCGGGCTGGAGCGCGGGCCGGGGCCAGCCTCGCCAGAGCCCTGCCAACCGCCGTGAGTCATTTCCTTGGAATCCTACCTTTGGTGTTTATTTCCCTTAGAAGGAAACTTGGTTTAAAAAAAAAAAGAAGAAGAAGAAAAGAAAGAGTAATCATAGCTCTTATTCTTCAGGAGAGGCGCACGGCTCCAGCACCGTGGAGACAACTTGCCTTTGTTCCCAGACACTTGGGGTGGTGTTTACTTTCTCCCGCGGCCGACGTCCGGCGGAGCTCTGCCGGCTTTTCCCCCCAGAGGGGCTTGGGCTAGGGCCCCCGACCCCCGGGGTGTGTCACTGTGGGAACGTCTGCTGCCCGCCTGCAGGGGGGTGGGTCTCCAAACCTCAGACCCCCAGTCTTGGGCGTGGGATGGGGAGACCTGGCGCCCCGGGCTGGGCTTGGACCCCCACCCTCATCCCCCTCTGGTTTGGCACCCCCATTCCCAACCCCAGGATCCGACCTAAATCTCTTGGCCTTTCAGAGCTGCAGCTGAGAAATGTATCTCCCAGGGCAGACAGGTGTACTGCAGGGACTGGTAGAAAAGCGACATCTGCCTATTTGGAAGGATTGAAAGATTTTATTCCACTCACCCAGACCCTGCCACCACCAACCTAAGCTGTTGATAGCTTGTTAGGGACAATGTCAGATCAAGGGCTTGATTCCACCTGGGCAGGATATCTAAGACTGACAACTTCAAAGATATATTGAAAATATCAGCTCTTTATTTCCATGCTTTTCAATATTGGAGTTAGACCTCTGAACTGCTCTAATGCTCTTAATAAAATGTTTTCCAATGATGAATGAGAGGGATGGGGTGGGCAAAGCATGACTGAGATCCCCTGTTGGATGGCAGGCATCACTGAATCTGCAGCTACCCTGTTCTCTGTGCCAGCCACTCCTATTAGCATCATAATGGCTCCAAGGAGAGAAGCAGCCCAACTCATCTGGAAGAACCATAGTGTGTAAAACCGCCTGGTAACTTTACTGTGAACATTTGCTGGCAAAACTTGACACTTTAGCCCTTGGCCTTTGGGGAATGCTTGAAGTGTCATTCTGCTACCTTCCCTTGGCTGACAAGACAGACATGCAGGAGCCTGAGGAGAAAAGATTAAGGGCTTTCTAGTTTTTATTTTTTAAACCCTCTTATAGACAAAACACACTTTAATACCTTTCTTTTGCATCCACTCACCTCTGATGTTAGAAAAACAAAATCTATCATAAATGTGCATCTCTGTGACTGTATCTAGTATTCACAGCTCATAAATTTGTGAATTTCAACTTCTGAACTCAGTAGCAGAATTACAATGTAAATCTCATTGTACTGAGGGAAAAAATGACAGTTCGGATGTGCACGCAAAATACAAATAAAACGATCATGCAATATCATGGCTGAGTGCCCCATTCTCCAGTTCTTCATGAACATTGAACTTGCCTCCTTAATCTGCTAACATCCCAGTGAGTTCTAAATAGACTAGGAAGACTCAGCTGCAAAATCTCCTCCCTGCTCCCAAATAATTCCAACTTATTTATATTTTATTCAGACTTACATAAAGTACTTGTGGAACTCAGCCTCTCCAATTGAGGATGTTGTGTGTAAAAGTTTCTCATTAAAAAAAAAAAAACTTACTGAAACTAGATAGTATAAAAGGAAGAAACAGCCAAGATAAAAACTATTATGCCATGATTCAAGCTCAAATGCATAAGAGTAGAATTTCATGTGCCGGAAATAATACTAACAAAAAGAAACACTGAAATCCTTAACCAAAAAACTATACAAGGATAAGTCATTAAAATATAAACAAACTCCTACTAACATAAAACGGCACAGGGCCCATATAATGTCCTATTAAACAAAGGTAATTGCTGCTAGGGGCCTGCAAATGTTTCTCTTGTCTTACCGGGTATGGATTTGTCAACCTGCTTTAGTTTATATGTAATAAAATTTCCACATAGTCAAAAAATGTGGCTCTTATTCCCAGAATCCAACACAAAAGTGAGTGTAAATTTCAATCGAGAAATTAACAGTTGCAGTCAATGAGACATGGTTATGGACTCTGAGAAAAAGCTCTATAATTCTTGTGCTCCTGGCAGTAGCACTTCCTGATAACAACTGTCTCTTAGAATAGGGTAAGAAATGGGACCATTTCATGAGAGTCTTCCAGGGAACAGATTATCATGAGGCTTGATACCTTGTTTGGATGCTGAGTTTGAGCATCCGTTCTATTGGGTGATAGAATGGCTTAGTTTGTGAAATCAGTGTGGTCTGAATTTCTTGATTGATGACTCAACAGAATAAATGGCATGTCTGACCATTTCTTTTTACAGAACTTTTTTTTTTTCTTGAAATAAGGTTTTCCAACAAGTCCTTGCTGCTACTTTTAAAAGAAAAGGGTTAGGTGGTTCAGACAGGGAGGCCTGGCTTGCTGCAGTCCATGGGTCACAAAAAGTCAGGCCCGACTGGGTGACTGAGCAACAGCAAAGGTGGTTTAGTAGCCCAGATCAGCTGAGTCCTCACTGTCGACCCTGACTGGGACATCTCCTCTGTATGTCAGAGGCCGGGCTTCCTTCAGTGAGGTTGGGAGAGAATTTCGGGTCTCAGAGAGAAACCTGGGTGATGGATGGAGTCACTGCTGCCAAGAGCTTCTCTGATGGCCAGACACTTCCACTCAAGCTATTTCCCCTTCCCCTGATGCCCTTCCTCCTTTACCTGGAAGTGGACCCTTGTTTTAACATGTAGGTAATAATAGTCTCCTACAAGACAATAGTAGATTATCCTTACCCCCCAAACATTACAAGCTGTATAATTTGGAGAAGGAAGCAAGAACTAGACCCTTAGCGTCTTTCAAACACAGATCAGTCTTCAAGAGAGCAGACTTTGACATCACTCTTTGTGACAGTTCTTTAAATGGCAAAGTGAGAGAGTGGATGTTTGGGTCTCAAGGCACTGAGGCTGCTCGGCTATCACCCCAATCTCTGGCCCCGAGGTGTTTGGGCTTCTTCCCCCTTGCACTCACTCTGGACCCCACCTCAAGCCCTACTTCGGACCAGGTAAAGACACTGAACCCCCAGGGGAACCGCCCTAGCACCCCAGGTGCAGAGCAGCCCAGGGCGCACCTTAAGAGCAGAGAGGCCTCCCAGTCTCCCGCAGGCCCCAGGGAAGGGCGTGAACTGCCCCGGAGGGCAGTGGTGTGCTGCCTCCTGGAAAGTTTCTGCTTTGCGTCGAGCTTCGCGGTGCAGAGTTGCCGGCTGCCTCTGGCCCCAGAGCCCTGGCTCCTGTTTAATATTCCGCCTGCTCCGTGGATGTTGTGCTTGGCTCCGGTGGGACTGCAACTCACGGCTGGAAACTGGAGCCAATTTTCTGTCTTCATCTCTCAGTGTTTTGACTGGAGGCAGATCCAGTTCAGGCCGATCAGGGCTGGTGGAAACAACTACCAAGTGTGTCTCTGTCTGCTTCGCTTTGGGAGAAGAAAGTGGAGGGAGCCCCAACATGTTGTAGGGGAACTGGCCCTGCGGAAACCGAGGAAGAGGGGGCCATGGGCACGTGGAACAGACCAAACCTGAGAGCATCAGATGGAATTCCGGTGAAGATTCCTGCCTCCCCCAGCCTTTTCTTTTGATTGATTAGTGGATTTCATCAAAGGAGACTCTCGGGGGACTTGACTAGAAAATTGATTTTGCCTTATTAATAGAAAGGAAGCGGCAAGGGTTTTGGCCTTGCCTCTTAGCGGTGCATTTTCTGCGGGAAGGTCAGAGGAAAATGTGTTTAGAAGGCAAAGCAGCTGTCTGGAAGAGGGCTGAGGGGAATATGAGAACAATAAGAAATGGGGTTTTAAAGATCCGCCCATGAAATGCAGATTGCTGAACACAGAGGCTGAGCTAATAGCTGCAAGAGAGTTTACTGACATTTTTCTTTGAAAAAAATAATAAAATGTTTCAGGGCAAAGAGGAGGAGCAAGAAGTAAAAGTTTCCCAAAGCAAAGGAAGGGAGATGCCAAGGCCATGCCCTGGCTTGCTCTTGATTAGGGCTCTTTTCTTTTTTTTTTTTTCTTTTTTCAGATCTGAGGCTGTCAGAGATGACTCTGGTTCTGTCCATGAATAGATTCTGCGAGCCCATTGTCTCGGAAGGAGCTGCTGAAATTGCTGGGTACCAGACACTATGGGAGGCTGACAGCTACGGAGGCCTGAGCCCCCCGGGGCCAGCCCAGGCTCCCCTGCAGGGAGACCGGGGAGCCGGCCCCCCACTGGCAGGTACGGCCTTTGACCTTTCTCTGCTGCCCTCTGTGGCCGGACTGGTAGATGAGGGTGGTGTCTGGGGTGCCCTTCTGAGCTGAGAGTGCTCCGGGGACTCGAAGGCCCCAAGGAAAGGACCAGAAGTGATGTTAATCGCATGCAGACCTGAGTTTCCCCGTGCTGCTGCTTCAGGTAAAAGTCAGGCATTTGTATTTTTAAGAGACCCAAAGCAGATCTTGAAACTCTTCAATTCGATTTTCTACCCTCTAGGACTGTACGGGTCTCAGTGCTATACAAGCCCTGGGTGGGCTTGACAATGAAATCTTTATCCCGTGAGACATAAAGGAATGTGCCCTTTGGGCCAGCAGCTGTGTGGCTCTTCTTTTTATTAAGCACACAATTGGCTTTGGTATTATAGGTAAAAAAATTTGTAAGCCCAGAAAAAAATGTGTTCTCCCTGATTCATTATTCCTATGCTCACCTTAGTGAGTTCCTTTGGATTTTTGTGTGCTACTAGATTGGAAAAAAAGCCAAAAACCTAAAATGAAAACAAGTGCTTGGTGATGTCTGATTTGCTAAAAAGCAGTAAAAGCTTGGTCTTTGAAAATTAGACTTTATTTTTATTCATGGTTGATATGTTGGATTTTTGAGAGCAAAGAGAAATTTTGTTACCCTGAAGTTTAATTTTAAATGAAAAAAATTTGAATTTTATGTTTTGAAACAAGGAATATTATAACTCCAGTGTGTAGATAGTCATTTGTTTACTTACTGAGAGCCAGTAATATTTAAAAGTTGCTCAGTTATTAGTGCTTACAGTTAAAGATACATTCGTTTGAAAAATGGTGTTATTATGAATTTAAGTAAATAATTTGGATAAATACTAATATTATTTCAGTTATTACATTACTTCCCTTTTTGAATTTTGCTGTTTGCCTGTGCATAGAATTACAATTCTGAATATTTTGTAAATGCTAAAATATGTCATTTTCCTCTATAATTGTCTAGAAATCCTTGCCTGGCCTGGGTCACAGGATTCCTCATGATAGCAACTAGTAAGACTAATGTTTATTTTTAATCACCACATGTACAGACAAATACGTAGCCAAGTTATCTTCTAGAAGGCAAGGAAAGAAAAGCATTTTGTTTGGAGAACCTCTGGCAAACCGCATGTCATTTGTCATATCTGATTTATTACCACAGGATCACATTACAGGGGAATTTCAAATCCTATAACAACATCCAAGATCACATACTTTAAGAGGAAGTATGTGGAAGAAGAGGATTTTCACCCACCACTCAGCAGCTGTAGCCATAAAGTATGTTTTTTTAATAGTCATTATTTTTATTAAGAGTTTAAGATACTTAGTAACAGTTGCTTGATCCATTTCCAGAAATTAAATTGTTCCACCCAAGCAATGAAAATGAGCCACTTCTCAGCAGGGCCGTATTAATCGTTGTCACTTTTTGGGGTCCTGTGTTATTTTTCACAAGTATTTGAAGAGAGAGCCAGCAAGAACTCCTCTGTCCAGAAATAACAGAATTATATAATCCAAGGAATGCCTTTTTTTTTTTTTTTTTTTTACTAATGATTTCATTTTTCTCAAATTGCGTTAAGGGTTCATGGTGACTGGTGCTTTCACATGCACTTGTTCTTTCCAGACCTGCTCCCCGTCTCTGAGCTCAGGCTCCCATGGCCAATGTCACCTGTGTGCCCACACCCAGGGTTTTCCCTGACCTCTCCGAAGTGGACTCCCTAGCCTTTGAATGTGTGCATGAAAGTAGAAGTGTCCTTCATGGTGCATTCATAACATATGTTTTGTTTGTGGAAATATATAATTCATTCCCAAGAGAAAAACCAAAGCTAACTATTTTGTGTGTGAATAAGAAGGAAATGACAGGATCGGGAAAGCACCCAGAAGTCTAAAACCGGCTGTCTAAGCTTTTGAAATACCAGTTCCTTTTCCTATGGTTACCTTCTTTCAAAAACTATCTGCTAACTTAATCGAGGAGAGGATAACCCAGGCCGTAGGTGTTTGCAATGCAGAGAGGATGTTTAATTTTTTTTCTAATTCATCTTCCTCTCTTCTCACTCCATCTCCTCCGCCCCCCCCCCCCCCACCCCAGCCTTTAGATGTTGCTCTGACCCTGCTCATAAGAGGACATCAGCATGCATTGGCAGGTGCTGGGCTTTTCCGTGTATGTGTAGTTCCTGCCTTTGGTCAGCTTGGGCTGGTTTAATTCACAGCTCCTGAGGTTAGCTTTTTTTTTTTTTTAATGACCTGGAAGAGCTGGGCCCCAGGACAGAAGCATTTGAGGTCCATTTTGGTTTCTGAGTTGTGGCTATAGCAGTTTTCCAGACTGCTGCCCGTCTGTGCCAACCATCACACAGTAATGGCATTGCACAGCCTGGGAGTGAGTCCTCCGATTTCCTCTCTGCACCTCTTCTCCTACCTAGTTCCAGAAAAAGCCTACTTTGGCCCTGCAACCAGCAGCTTCCTTTAGGGTTTGAGCCTCTTTATTTTTGTCCCTCTATCAGGCAAAGATAATTGCAAGAATGAAACCCAGAAAAACAGCACAGGCAGCATGAGCTCATGCTCCTTGATGTCTCACCCAGGGCTTGAAATATACTTATGATGACCTGCAACTTGGCATCTTCTAAAAAGCATTTATTGACATAGAATAGATGAGTATGTGTGTGTGCATGTATATTTGTATACACACACATCAAGGCCCAGAGTTTCCCAGGTGGCGCTACTGGTAAAGAGCCCGCTTGCCCATGCAGGAGACATAAGAGACACAGGTTCGATCCCTGGGTCAGGAAGATCCCCTGGAGGAAGGCATGGCAACCCACTCCAGTATTCTTGTCCGGAGAATCCCATGGACAGAGGAGCCTGGCGGGCTATGGTCCAGAGGGTTGCAAAGAGTCCACAGGGACGCACAGAGTCAGACAGGACTGAAGCGACTTAGCATGCACATTAAGGCCCAAGTGTCATAAGGGCCCAGCTTGATGAATTTCACAAAGTGTGAAATAGCCATGTAACTGGCATCCAGATAAAGAAACAACGTAACCAGCAACTTAGAGGGTGCCCCTGTCCTTCTCTAGTCACCATTTCTCAGCTCTCCAAAGAACCCCCCTCCTTACTTCTAACAGCATAGGTTAATTTTGTGCATTTCGCCATCCCCCTCACCATAAAAGAGCGGACATCCTGACCTGTCCCTGCTGAGGTCTGCATTGTGGCTGGATTCCCCAGTGCTCAACATCACCAGCCAGTCTGCTGGGAAGGGGAGATGTTAGCAGCCCCCAGGAGAGCATCTCTAAATGAACCCAAGGGAAACCAGACCACAGCATCCCCAGGCCCAGAAACTGCCAAGGGAGAAATGTGCTGGGATAATATTTTAATAAAGGCCACTTCCTAAGTTTTCTCTTCCCTTTTTGATTTTTAGACCATCTCAATCTTTGAGGAACGAGCCCACATCCTTTATATGTCCTTAGAAAAGCTAAAGTTTATCGATGATCCTGAAGTGTACCTCCGAAGATCTGTCCTTATAAACAATCTGATGAAAAGGATCCATGGCGAAATTATCATGCAGAATAACTGGTGCTTTCCTGCCTGCTCTTTCAATGGCACCTCTGCCCAGGAGTGGTTTATGGCTCAAGACTGTCCTTACCGGAAACGACCTCGAATGGCCAAAGAGGAGTGTGAAAAATTTCATGCCTGCTGCTTGTACCAGGAATGTGGTGGTCACTACCTAAATTTACCCCTCTCGGTCAACGCTAATGTCGGAAGTGCCTCCACCTCTGCCTCCTCTTCCTCCCCCTCCTCGTCTTCCTCTTCCTCTCCCCCTCTGCCTTTACCGAGCTGTTCCCACCAGGTGGATTTTGATATAGGCAGCGCACCTGTTTACAAGGGTGATGGCCAGATCCCTGCCAGTGAAATCTTTGTTACTAACGTCCGGTCACTTGGTGTTCAGGAAAAGGCCAAATTAAATGATGAGAAAGTAAATGATGACACCAACAGGGATGGTGGCCCCCTGAGCCATGGACCTGTGGGCAATGACCTTGCGTTTGAGGGCAAAGGCCAATTTTATGATTATTTTGAGACTGGATATAATGAAAAAAGCAGTTTAAGTGAGTCTTGGAAAAAGTCCTTGAGGAAAAAGGAGCCTTCACCGAGTAACAAGCTGTGCTGCAGCAAAGGAAGTAAGATATGAGCCATCTTCTCACGCAAACTTTGAAGCATGCACAGCATGATCAGTTAGCTCTCATAAATTTTATTTTGAATGGATTTTATAGTTTTGTACAACTGATACAATTATGCCATGAACATGCCATGTCGTTTAACTGCCTGGAGAGCAGATTGCATAAAACATCTGTATTGTAGGCATCGGCGAGCTACTCATAAATGTGGTGACGTTACCAAGAAGACAGTTGACTTAACACTTAAATGTATATCTTAGTTTTCTTGCCGAGAAGATCAGCAGATTAGACTGGGGGACAGCATGCCCTTGTGCTATTTCTACGACCTGCAAGGAGCCTGTCACTGGCGATGAACCTTCCACCTGTTTGCCAGTTCATTAGGTAGTTATTTGGTAAGCAAATTGATATAACCAGCAAAGGAGGTCTGCTGCTTCTCTATGATACAGTATTTTTCTTCTGAATAAAAGACTGAGGACAGGGAGCTAGGAGAAATGGCTTCCTGGTGCTGTTAAATATTTGGATTCAACCGTCTTGTGTGACAGATGAAATAGGATAGGAGGTAATGAAACAGCTGACTAGGGGCAACAATCAACGATACAAGTAGAGGGTGATCCCTGCCAGTTCCTGGCTTGCCTGTGATGGGTGACGAGGCTTTTAGAAAGGTGTTATACAGGGCGATTTTTGGTGCCTTACTTTATCTTAATTTTTGCCAATGTGAAAATTAAGGATAAATCAGAGTACAGCAGGGATTTAACAAACAGGAAAAAAAATACAAACAGGGTGGATCAATATTGTTTGGAAATCTTTAACGTCGAACTATTGCGTTCAACTTTTGATTCAGCATCTCTGTTCTTCCTTTATTTTTTGATGCCCAGTTGCTTTTGGATTTGGCATTTTTCGAAAGGGATGGAGGACACAATAGAGAGAGCTGTTAGGGATCAGCACTAGCTGCTCAAGCTTTTCTATGGCAACAGTCTGTTGCTGGGGTTTGGGTTTTCTGGGTTTTGGGTTGTTCTGTTTTGTTTTCTTGTCCAATGAAGTTCATGAACCAGTAGCATGCATCATACTTTAATCTGTTTTGCATCATTTCACTCTTTTAGATTATAAAAGCATGTGGTTTTTTATATATGACTTTTGCTGTTGATTACGAAGCACAATGTTAATACATGATGTGGTGATCAATAAGGTTTTATCTTAAAGAATGTAAAGATTTTCGTTTGGGGAAAGTTATTTTGGAGAAATGGGACTCAGTCAGCAAAAGCTCCTATGTATTTGGCCAGCATTTTTCTCAGTCGTTTTTTTCATGTGTACATTGGCAAGAGTGTTCAGAGGGGCCCCTCTGACCATCCTTCCTTCCACGCCATCCAATTCCTCCTGCTAAACTGTATTCCCATTTCCAAGGTTACTGACTGACTTGGGCCTCCTTACACAATACTTCACAGGAACCAGATTCCAAATGGAGGAAATAAGTAAGTCCTCCCAGTTTCTCCAAGATAAAGCTTTTTTTATTATTGCTATTAATATTAAATATAGGTCTCATTCATACAGTGTATGAGTAGGATCGTCATTTGGACAATGTCCACAAGGACCAATTTTTAAAACCCGTTCTTGTGTTAATGGCTGAATAGTCTAGTGATGTTTTGTCCTTTATTTTCAATATTTGATAAACATTTGATGTTGAAAACTTAGATGATAGATGCTTGTATATGAATGTGTTGTAATAAAGTGAGGTTTTCTGGATATATATTTATTAAAATGATCAAAATTCATTCAGATTTTCGTATTTTAATGACTTGGCTGTTTCTCTTTTCCGTTTCTCGTTCTTCTTTAAAAAACAAACTCGAAAGTGGCTAGAAATTGTCATGGACAGTGGCCCCATAGGCTTTTTCAGAGTTAGAGAGTGCTTTTTGAGAGGCCCATCCAACAGGTGTTGTAGAACGGTCCTAGTTTGTAGGTTTAGATTTCTGTTGATTTAAGAGCATAGTGTTAATAAATAATGTGGTTGGTGATGGATAAGGTTTTACCTTAAAGGGTCTGAAGTTTTTTTGGCTTTTGTGAAGTTTCTGAGAAAAACAGCATAATATGAAGACATAAATACTGAATCCTAACTGATTCCTTTTGAATTGTCGGATTGTCAATCGACAGTTGTCATATATAAAGTTAAAACAGCTGTGGAGGCATTCCATTTAATTCTGTATTATTGTTATTCTTAGAGGCTAACATTTCATTTGATAAAAGAGGTGAGCTTGGAGCTTCGCTGGTGGTCCAGTGGTTAAGACTCTGTGTTTCCATTGCAGGGCTGAGGGTTCAGTCCCTGGTGGGGGAACTCAGACCTTGCATGCCACCTGGTGCTGCCAAAAATATCTTTTTAAAGGGAGTGGGCAAGCTAGTTGGAAAGTAATTTGCCAAAAGTAGCATTCTTATTATGAGCATGCTACATCTCGGAAATCTGAATATGAAAGAAAGGACTTTTGTTTTTAACCTCCCCACACCCTCCCCCCTGCCCCTGCAAGCGTTACCAGATAATGGTGGCCAAAGCTGTGAAATGATGGAGTTGGTGATTTTCCAGAGAACCCACTAGTACTTCTCTGAAGGATGAGGCCTGCCTTGGAACCCAGCAGCATTAAAATACATCCTAGTTCGTAATCAAGTTTTTGACTGTAGGACAGTTCCAGCATACTTAAAGGAATACATTTTCTTTAAAGAAAAAATAATCCCTAAACATCCATCCAAATACCAAAAATGTTCCTAGTGTTGTTACAAAAGCATTATGGCCTCCTGTGTAATATCTACTCAAGAGATATTAAGTTAGATTTTCCTGGGTGGACAAGGTTCTCCTTCATTGTAAGTTAAGCCTATGAATTGGGTTCTCTAGTTATATCCTCAGAGATGGGAAAAGCTAAGACTGCCCTCCACACCACACTGCTGTCTCTCTACCTGGAAATAACACCTTTTCTTATTACTCTGCTTTCTTTGCTTTAAGGAAAATCTCATAGGGCCAGAATCCAGACTTTTAAAATTTAAATGAGGGGAAATCTTCTCTCAAGAAACGGCCCAGCTCCCCAAGTATGCCTTTAATTGCTACTCCCCTAGGCACCTAAGTGCATGTCTTTAACCAAATCATTAACCTCCCCCTCTGGTCCTTCCTCTCTTCAACTGGGTGATTTGTAGATGAGAGCCTGGCAAAGGCCCTTTAAAAGGGCAAAGGTATCATCATCTTATGCTTCGATTGTTAAAATCCTATTATTCTATAGTTCACCTTGAAGGGGTCCTAGGGATAAGATTGTAAGGACAGGAACCTGGGGGGAAAATAGGAAAAACTTAAACCAGGTGAAAATAAATGACTAGTTGACAGCAATCAATAATTAGGGTCAAGCATCTTTGGCCTGATCTTTGAAGACAATGGAGATGTTGAACTTCTCAACTGCTACTTTGTTACATAGATGCTGAAGCAAGTGAATGGAAGGTCTTTGCTTTTAGAGCTCATAGACAACTTCATCCAAGCATGGCTACCCGCCCCACCAATCGTGAACGTGTGTTACAGCTTTCCTTGAGTTTATGGAGAGCCAAGAACAACTTGCAGAAAACATGGGTGTTAAGAGGTGTCAAACTCACAGTAAATATCAGACAGGGATATGAGGACGTTTGCAGTGCAGCTAAGCTTTTATATCCCTCAAACAAACCATGAGCAGAAAACGTTTCTGAAAATAATTAGTTGTTCAAATCCATTTTTATGACAGCCCCTGAAATTTGTAGTCATTGCATTTATAGTGAAATCACATTGCTGCCAGTTTTACTAGGCCTTTTCAAAAACAAGGATTTGGCATGGCGTTAATAACGATGGTTTAAACTAGATGCAGAAATGTCCCATGAAGGTAAGAATGAAATCAATATTTAAATAATAAAAGAGACAATATATGTTTTCTAGGAATTCATTTTAAGATTGTTGTGTTTTGATTCTGTGGTTTAAAATAAATGCATTAAGGATCTTTTAAATGAACTACACGATGCCTCTGGTGCTTTCTTAGAGTTATAGTATAGCGAATAAGCAAGGTATAGTCTCTTCCTTTGGCTAAAACGTCTCCATTTTATGTGATGTAGCTACATAACCTGAGGTGAAACAGTTCCTAGTTTAGAGATTGTTTCCAGCCCTGCGTACTTGCCATATTTTAGCTGGGAGAATTCACTTAGGAAAAGCACTTGCAAAGATGTAAGTTATGAACACTTGAATCTCGCATCCTGCCATAAAGTGCATCAGCAAGTGAGTTTAATAAAACATGCTGTTTAAAATAGTCTGTAATTTCCTGTTTCTGCATTTCCCTTCACTGTCTGTGACAGGCTGAAGAGCGATGACTAAACGAAGGGAATTTACACAAGCTAGTCTGGTGGTGTTTGCAAACCATCACATGAGATTCTTCTTCTTTGGTAAACAATTCTCTGGTGGGCTGTCTATGGCTGTTTTTTTTCCCCTTGGTGTTGGTCCAATTTGTTAATTTTTAAAATGCAAACCACTTATTCACAGCCTGGAAACACCTGCTTTTGACCGCAGTGAAACTGATGGAACGTACAGAGATGAAATTAGTCATTTCTCGTGAGATTTCCCATATTTCTCAACGCCTTTCGAGGCAACTATTGCCTTGATTTGAAGTTATGAAACCTTATAAAATGCCATATCTTGGGGGGAGAACACACACAGAAAAGAACTTGCAGAGATGCAGGTTGCGACGCTGAGATCCCGAGACGGTGGGTGAATAGCAGAACCTGGGGGGGGGGGGGGATGGCTTTCAACAGACACCGCCACCATCCAGGCCATCTCATGGGAGCAGCTGAGTCCAGGCAGCAGGTGTGCTTCTCCACGACACTGTCTGATTGGCCTGCTTACACCTGAACCCAGTCTGGATATTTCTAGACAGGTGCTAGAAAGATCTAGATATTCTAGACAGGTGCTTTTCTGCAGATGTCTTCTGAGGCAACTGCAATGTGCTAAGCTCAATTCAGTTCAGATGTGACATAG